GGGTCTGTATTGAAAAATCAATTCGAGGGGGGGGGGTGGGGGGGGTTGAATTGAATGATCAATTATTAGACCCGGACTCGCCGACACTTGCTTCGCAAGTCAAACTCAAGGTATCCCCTAAAGGGCTACCTTTCGTGACATCCGGCGATATCCGTAGATTGCTCTTTGCTCAGACTCAATACCTTCGTTATCGAGTCCCAACACACACACACAGAAAACTTCGGAGACGCCGCAGCCCTTTTCACGGAGGCCACACGGGCATCTGAGTCCATACGCTTTCTCAAAGTGGGCGCAGCCTGTGCGTGGGTCATGAAGGAAGAGTATGTCAATATGTCAACACAACTGACACAAGTGAAAACCTACAAGGCTGCGTACTTTTGGGAAAACATGGCTGGGCTGCAGTTATAACGAGTTGCCATGGCTTTGCGTTCGTCGACAAAAATTCAAGAGCGGCCCCGCTTGCGGCACCCAAGTCGTAGCGTTTGTAGAATTTTGCTGCGATGCACAAGCCTATGGCCCGAAAGCGTTGGTATCCAAAGGAGATGCGCCGCCATAAATCAACCAATACTACTTTTAATTTGGGCAATTTCCGGCGGCTTTGTGGGCTCGGATCAACTAGGAGGGATTTATTAATCCTAACTTTACATTATTGCTTTTGCGACTGTCTGGTATTTCTGTGCACTTTGTTCATATCTACCATGCCTTTGTCTAACCAGTTCCGAAGCCAAAAATTAATCAAGCACTTAGGGATTTTTGGATGTTGTTTCCTAAAACTGTGGGGGTATCAAAAAATGTCAGGAATTTGAAGAGAACTCCAAACGCTATCTAAGCGTTACATGCCTTACGGTTCCAGCACAGTTTCCCCTCACCCATTCAACGGCCTTCTAATGGTGCTGATGTACCGCCTTTTGTCCAGCATCCTAGGCCGTGTCAATCTGCACAGCTTTAACAGTTGCGACACCCAACCACCCGACCTCAACCTAATGAAATGTGGCTGAAGTGCTGACTGCAATATGATCAACTTCTTTGGCACCGGGCCAGCCCAGATTTCTTCCAGCCGTCGCTGTTCCGCGCAACATCTGTATCAGTTTCATCCTGAAGCCAAGCCAGGTCAAAGTGTTACTTTGAACTGTCTTCATAATATCGGAAAGCCTCAAAGCCCAAAGCATGTTGGTATTCTTGATCAATAACATCATGCCCTAACAACCTAAAATAAGCAATTTAGTAATACTGTATATATTATATACACAGATAGATATTCCTGGAGTGTTCTGGGCAAAGAACTCTTTGCCATTGGATCTACAAGCGCTTGCTGCGGCTGCCAGCTGAGCCTCAGCATCCCAAGACATCTTGAAGCTTCTGCACAGTGCTGAGTGGCTAAGCCCTGCACGTTCCGCAACGGGACATTTTGCCTAAGCGCACAAAGAGAACAGAACACACAAAACCAAACTCAACATGGTGACAAATCTTCGCTTCTACCGACCTCAGCATCTCGTGAGAATAGGCTAATGCCATTTCCCACTTGGCACCGATGCCTTAGCAGGATGTGATGCAGAATCTGACAGCACCATGTGTGAAACACCGAGCTCTACACTGCAGGCATTCAGCGCTACAGTATAAGCTAGTTCATCTGGCCTCAAACCGCAAATATCTGTCTGGATCATCTTGTACTGCCCAAGGTGCAAAATTCTGTGCTGCGACCCACTGAGCCCAGCATCATTCTAGCAATCGAGTTCCTGCCCTCAAATGTAAAACACACAAATAATATCTATCTATAAGTATGTATAACTTATCTCAAGTTGAGATAAGGTTCTCAACAGTGATAAAAAAAAAAACTGGCAACCTATAGGACCATCATCCACCAATAAAATGGCTTGGAGTCCGGCTTCAACTGGGCTTGCCGCATCTGCAGAAACACTCGCAGGGCGCTCGCCTGGACAAGAGAAAGTACGCATGGCTCTCCCTCTCTCTCTCTCTCTGTTAGCTTGGAGGCCATCGCTACTAGGATGGAGGCCATCGCTCTTAGGTTGGAGGCCATCGCTGTTAGGTTGGAGGCCATCGCTACTAGGTTGGAGGTCATCGCTCTTAGGTTGGAGGCCATCGCTCTTAGGTTGGAGGCCATAGGTATTAGATGGGAATAGGTTGGAGGCCATAGGTATTGGCGGGTTGGAGGCCAACGCTATTAGGTTGGAGGCCATCGCTTCTGGGTTGGAGGCCATTGCTATTGGGTTGGAGGCCATTGCTTCTAAGTTGGAGGCCATCGCTATTAGGTTGGAGGCCATCGCTATTAGGTTGG